CTAGAATGATTTTGATCAGCATTTTAGCTCTCTTAACTTGCTATTTTTTACAGTTTGTTATTTGATATAAGATTTTGTGGGCTTTGCATACCCATGTGCACCCCTTGAATGTGCACCCCCAACCCCCACATAACAAATCCCAATTTAAGCTACGGTTATTGATCTGAAGTGACCTGAGCTAAATAATGACACTACTGCTGTCTTTTAGAGCTGCTTTACTGCAGAATCTCCAGAGTCTCCATTGCTGAGTTTCCATAATTGCTTCTGCTATTTCCTGTTTATCATTGTAAAGCTGCTCTACACAATCTGTATTGTAGAAATAAAGTGACTTGACTTCATTTGAGGGAAATTGTTTTAAATGCACCTGATTTGCTGCTGCTAGATTTAGCACCAAGAGCCAAATAGCTATCGCTGAATTCAAGCCACGTCATACAGCACCGTAACTAGATGACAACCAGTTCATGTCCCCAGACTCGTAATGTGTTGCCATTAAAATGCATCATTCTATTATCAATAGTCAATTATTGGAATTTATATTACAAAATAACTGCTTAACTATATTTTACTTCTGAAGCCACTGCCATTTTGAATGTTTCCGAATTCAGTTGCAGTGGTGGTAAAACAAAGTCCGAGTGCTCGTAGAATTAAAAAGTTGTACGTTTTAGGAGGAAAAGAACAGTTTTTGCAAGTTGGATTCTCATAAATATAGTTATTTTGACATGACATGAACACCTTATGTAACTTTTGAGATCGACTAATGAAGCAGAGCGGGATTTACAAGCCTGCTTCGACTGCACTGATTGGAGTGTTTTTGAGGCTGCAGCCACTGATCTGGATGAGCTCACGGAGCTCTCGTGTCATCCTACATCAGTTTCTGTGAGGACATGCGTGTTCCAACCAGGACTTATTTAGCATTTAACAACGACAAACCTTGGTTCAGTGCAAAACTCAAACAGCTTTGCCAGGCCAAAGAGGATGCCTACAGGAGTGGGGACAAAGCCTTATACAAACAGGCAAAATACACACTGAATAGGGAGGTAAGAGTAGCTAAGAGAAGCTACTTTGAAAAGCTGAAGAAAAAAAAACTGTTTTCAAGCAACAACCCTACATTAGTGTGGAAGGGCCTGAAAGCCATCACCAGCTACAAGACTCCATCCACCAGCACTGTGGAGAATCAACTTTTAGCCGACCATTTGAATGAGTTTTACTGCAGGTTTGAAAAGCCAGGTCTCACCCACCCACCCCAACAGTTCACTGGAGCTGTGTGAAGTCCCCTCCTGCTTCAAACGCTCCACCATCATCCCTGAAACCAAGAAACCAAAAATCACGGGACTAAATTACTTCACACCTGTTGCTTTAACGTCTGTGATCATGAAGTCATTTGAGAGACTGGTGTTGGCCTACTTGAAGGACATTACTGGACTCTTGCTGGACCCCCTTGCTTACAGAGCAAACAGGTCTGTGGATGATGCAGTCAACATACTGCACTACATCTTGGCAAATAAAGCTAATTTTGATTCTTTTGACAACTTTTCACTGTCCAATAAATTCTCAATGTATAAAATCAAACCTGCACTACATTTATTCCCGTTTTATGAAATACACCATATTAAACCCAGGTTTAATTCAATAAAGTGCTGCAAGTGATGACATTTTTGTAGACCAACCTCGAAGTTTGCATCACCCTGGTTCCCTCGACAATAAAGTAAAGTTTGTGATCAACAAAAGTGTATCATTCTTACACATTTTGTTCATCGTGATAATATTCACAAATAAAAACAACTTTTATGAATTTTGAAGACCCAATACAATTGGCAAATGTAAAAAGCTAAAGTTAGAATATAGATGAACTACACCATGATCACATGACTTTGTCACCACCGTTAACAACTCTTTCAGTCTTTATTTAAAGAATGAAGACTGAAAGGCAAGCAAAATCTTATAAATACAGTGTGTGTGTGTATATATATATATATATATATATAAGGGTTCACACACCTTGGTTAACTTAAACTTCAAGGATTTTCCAGGTCCAATACCCTCAAATTCAAGGACTTAATGTGGGGACACATTTCAAGTGAGATCAAGGTTACACCGTTACATTGTTACCGTTTTCATGTGTCAAACACAACTATGCAAAAAAAACATTTTATTTTTTTTGCATTTATTTTTGGCCATATGACAGAGATCTGATATTCTATTTGTCGTATTTCTGTTTTGCATAAAACTGAAGAATATTCGGTACATCCTATACTGTATTCTAAAATGATCTGATATTAACTTTTGCATGGATTTTATTGAAAAGAGCTTAGGCTCATGTAACCAGAAGTTTTAAGATATATGAATATGCTTTTAAGTTTTTCTTGCCTCATGGGTTAACATTATCTTAACAAGCAAAGCAATTCAACATTAATATCACGGTGTGTCTGTGAAACGTTGAGGTACCATCGTAGTAGTTTCATACGCGCGTGAACGTCATGGCAACGTACAACACAAAGTACCTCACGTGACGTTAAGGTACCATTGTAGTAGTTTAGTGCGCACGTGAACGTCTTGGCAACATACAACTATGGCAAGCCAAAAGAGTCAAATACGCCGTCCTGATAGCAGACGCCATAAAAAACGTGCGTAAATGGTAAAAAACACCGTATTTAATGGCATAAATTTAATTCTGATTCTTTTGGCTTGCCATCTACAACACAAAGTATCTCACGCGGGAAACACTTAACGTAACACGTAAAATGCCCGTAGCTAACATAAATCAAGCAAGCTAGTATGCATAGGCCACGAAGTGTTGGCGAAATAACACATTAGCAGACCAGAGGGAATAATATGGAATTTTTTCCAGAAAACTTCTTACACAAAATAAATTCAAGCACTTGCAAGGACCTGTATCTATGTACGTTCTTTTTCAAAAACTTTCCAGGGCCTCGAAAAATTTTTTTCAGATTCACAAACTTTCAAGGATTTCAAGGACCCGTGGGAACCCTGTTAAGGTAACATTTAAATGTGCGTAACTAATGTAAATCATGCAAGATAGTATGCATAGGCCACAAAGTGTTAGCGAAATAACACATTAGCAGACCAGAGGGAATAATATGGAATTTTTTCCAGAAAACTTCTTACACAAAATAAATTCAAGCACTTGCAAGGACCTGTATCTATGTACGTTCATTTTCAAAAACTTTCCAGGGCCTCGAAAAAATTTTTTCAGATTCACAAACTTTCAAGGATTTCAAGGACCCGTGGGAACCCTGATATATATATATATATATATATATATATATAAATAAAACACCTGTATTACGGATGTATTTTATGTCGTAGAATAAAACATGAAACCTTATTTTTATGCATTTAACTAAAAACCTGTTCAAGAAAAAAAAACAAAAAAAAACATTGACTTCAGGATGATGGAACTGGAAGTGCTAAAATGCTAACTTGTTTCTCAGTTTTAGCCAACAAAATCATCCCTGCAGCACTCCATTCATTTTGACTTTAGATAGGCATGCAAGCTGTGATATGAAAACACTCAGAAAAGCCTAAAATGAAAGAAATGACAAATGTTCAGGGAGATAGGAGACATTGCATTTAATTTAAAAATAAAGTTTTTAGCCTTAAATTAACAATGGATCTATATTCCAAGTCAAAGGAGTGTAATGCCTACTGCACAAAACAACTGAAGACAAGGATCTGTAATGCAACACAACTAAAGGAATCTCCACAAAACATTTTTTTTTTTTAAATAATGTAGGTGATTCAAATGAGGCATCTCTTTGGCACTCTCTAAATGGAGTGCTTCGAGAAGTTGCCTTCCCTGCCTTAAGTACTATGAAACTCAGAACTGAAGAGGTAAAAATAAATGTGGATAAATGCACCAGTTCGACTGGTGACTGGTCACAAGTCACTCTTACCTGTATTGGCATAGTAACTAAGCAACTAAGAGTAGAAAAAGTAGAGAAAATCTGTCTTGAACACATATAAATAATTTTTTTTACAAACAAAGTTAATCCAGAACTAATATGCAATAAGGAAACTAGCATTCCTTTCACTTCAACAAAAATCTCAATTAAATAAAACAAAATCCAAAGCTGCTGTATCCACCTAAATGTGAGAGTATAAAGCTAGTTTTCTATAATGTCCCATGTTTACAGTAGATCACACATGAGAGCTGCTCGTACTAATAAAAACTAGATTCATCCATGAGATTCAGATATTGCCAAGCACTTTAAGACCTATAAAAAAAAAAAGGTCAGTGGGACGGCGCATCCACGCTGACTAAAGATTTGTCTGACCGTCTAAAGTTCTGTTCGTGTGCAGTCAGCCGGTGGGTCTGCAGGGAGGTGATTCCACCTAAAAGAGTATAAAGCTAGTTTTCTATAATTTCCCATTTTTACAGTAGATCACACATGAGAGCTGCTCGTACTAATAAAGACTAGATTCATCCATGAGATTCAGATATTGCCAAGCACTTTAAGACCTATAAAAAAAAAAAGGTCAGTGGGACGGCGCATCCACGCTGACTAAAGATTTGTCTGACCGTCTAAAGTTCTGTTCGTGTGCAGTCAGCCGGTGGGTCTGCAGGGAGGTGATTAAAAACAGTTGAAACATTACCACCACCTGACTGAAGATAGTAGGAGTCCATTAGCCGTCCAACGCCCCCGTTGAGCCTGAGCCGGTCGTGTGCAGTCCAAACAAACAAACACTCTTACACAAGACATTCCTAGCATTTAATCTCTGGGACTCTCATCTGTGCTGGCCGAAGACCGTTCACAGTAAGATCACTTCAATGAGAATTCATACTAAGCCTGAAGGTCTAAAACTTGATCTTGGGTGTTTTTAAAAACAAAAGGCTCAGTGGTGGACATGTATTTGCAGTTGTCTGATCATGTGATGACATGTTTGTCGACTTTAAACACAGAGATGTCTGGTCCAGACTGTTTTTCTGTTCAGTTGTTGTCGGAGCTGGCGAATTGATCTGTTTGTTGAAGACATTGTCTGTGTGGAGTAAGTTACTCCATGATGGCTCTGTATATGTCTGGTTCGATGTAATCCTCTCTGTAGCGGGAATTGATCACCCGCTGTCTTTTCGAGTCTTGCTTCACCTCCTTCTCCACAAACACTCCTTTGAAGCGCATGTCCGATGCCACAGACTAGAGATAGAAATAAAATGTATTTAAAGTCTGCTTAAACCACTGATTTTTCAGTTGCACTGTGTCATTACAAGTTAAGATTACTGTAGTAGTAGTAGTAGTAGTAGTAGTAGTATTTTATAATTTTTTTTTGCCATGTCAGAATTTAAGGCTATCTTCATAGCATAAACGGAGTTGGAATAATACAAGAGTTACATACAAAATAAAAACCAAGCATACACAAAAATACAGCAGTTAAAATTATACAAGATTTTTTAAATGAACATGATAAAAATTCTAAAATCTTTTCTGGTAAAATCTTATGTAGTGGTAAGAGAGATCAAGGAAAAGTAGTTTTATGAGTTTCTCAATGGTGTACTGCACATTATCACTTAAGTAGCAGTGCTGGCAGGAAATTACACACCAGGCGGGCTTTAATGCGTTTGGGCAGCTCCTCGTCCAAACTGTACACGTCTTCCCTCTTTACAGTAAGCTGAGAGTCATCTTCAAACTCCACCTGGAAAATAATTAAAAGAGCTGCGAATGAAGCCATTATAAAATGGTATGTAAATTGCTTTGCAGCGGTAAATGCAACGGTAAAAATGGTAAAAATAAAAATAAAAAAAGGTCTACAGTTACTCTGCCTTCAGGTAAACTCAGAATGATTATATTTTAGAATGTGACTGTACAACTAATTTGTATGCATTCTGTGTAATGTTGATGAAGGACAGCTATAATGTTTGCCAGAAAATACTTCTCATTTAGTTGGGTAATGAAGCAACAGGGTCATTCTATGTGTGGCACAATGTTAAAATATTCAGAGATATAAATAAATTACAAACCTAATGCACATCCTTTGCTCTTCGGTTTCCTGTATTATCACTAAACACCCTGTCTTAGTCAAGAAGTGGGGGGAAAAAAACGCAAAAAAAAAACAACCTAAAACTGCTGGCCAGTTTTGCCGGACTAAAATCACTTAAAATATGTTGCATCATAAATTTGACTTCCACATTGTTAACCTGGAACAGGCCTCAGGCTTATGAACCATAGTATTTGGAGGAAGAATTGTTTATTCTGATTATACACAACTGGTCAAAAGTTTGGGGTCTGTCATTTTTGTAATGTTTCAAAAGAATAATGCATTTATTTATTTAAAATAGGATTATTTGATGAACATAAAAAGCATGCATTTATTTGAAATAGCAATCTTTTGAAACATAAAAAATAAATAAATAATGCCTCCTTGCTCAAAAAAGTACAAATTTCTTTCAAAAGAAATCTTACTGACAAATTTTTGAACAGCAGAGTATTATAATAATAATAATAATAATATTTTGACAGTTGGTGTCTTTTATTATGTTGCTGCTTTATAAAAGTAATAATCCAGTAGAGTCTGTGGATTACAGTGATTTAACCATGGACCTACTGCTGAAATTTAAGCCTATTGTGTGACCACTCACAGCTTGTTGCTTAAACCTTAAAGACCAAAACAGCCGCCCGTGGCTAAAAATGACTATTGTTCTTAAATTTTTGAACCACTAATCCAATCTGAATGCTTTAAAAGGTCTAGTAAAGAGGAGATATTGCATTTGTCACATTTGGACATTCAGAGGCTCTGTAGTGAACGTGGATACGTCATCACATTTTGACAGAGGCGGACAGTAACTAAGTACATTTACTTGAGTATTGTACTTAAGTACACTTTTTGAGTATCTGTACTTTACTTGAGTATTATTTTTTCTGGAAACTTATGACTTTAACTTCACTACGTTTGAAATACAAATATTGTACTTTTCACTCCACTACATTTCTATCAAGGTCCTCAAAGTTTTTTTTCTTCCTTATCAGTCTGTATTTACAGCAGTTTCACTGTCCACTCTGTTCAAATGTGGATGAATGGTTACACATAGATGTGTGCACACACTGTCAGAGCTGTGTGAGATCACTACCATCCTGCTTTTGTGGGGGTGGGTAGGGGTGTTAAATATTTATTTTTATTTATTTATTTTTCCCCCCATAGGTTTTTAACGTTCTAAAAGCTCTTTATATACTACAAGCTAGTCAGTGTATTCAGTAGGTGTAATGTATTCTAAGTTGCTTCAGAAGTATTGCAAGTACTACTACGTACAACAATAAAACAGTGCATTGACATAAAAAAGGAAATTTACTTTTGGTACTTAAGTACTTTTAAAAGCAAGAACTTCTGTACTTTTACTTAAGTAAAAATCTGTCTTTACAACTTTTACTTGTAATGGAGTAATATTTGAGTATATCTGTACTTTCACTCAAGTAATGGAGCTGAGTACTTTGTCCGCCTCTTTAATTTAGATCAGCGAATGCTTAGTCCCACCCCCGTGCCCAGATTGGTTCAGACGGTCATCTACTCAATTACTAACATAGGTTTTGGTCTTTTGAACCACCAATCAGCATGTTCTTTGGAAATTTCGCAAAGTGAGATTTAGTGCGTCGTGCATGCATGAAAACAAACACAAAATAACACATTTGCATGAGAGCACTCTTTGACAAAGCACAGAAAAACACGACAGAGCACTTTGACATAACACAAACCAAAAACAAGGATGAAACAGCGGTACATATCAGATAAAGTGCTGGAATTTATGTTTTAGAATCGACTGATCCAATGGACTGATCCACTTGGTTGTTATATTATGTAAATATTTTATGTTATGTAAATATTTAAATATTTGATATCTTATATAGTTTGTAAAGATCATTTGCACTATTTATTCAATTGCATTCGGTATATTTCTTATTTTGTGTGTAGTTAATGAAAATTATTTGCACTGTTTGTATTTTTGTTGCACAAGACCATTTGCACAATTGTATTCACTACTTGCTACATGGTTTGCTTTTGTTGTTCATGTTCAAATTGAAAATTGATTTCTCTGAGAAAAAAAAGTCACTTTTGCTTCCGTATTTTGTTATTATATAACAACCTTACTATTTACTTTACTCCCTAAACTTTTTTGGACACATCTATATTGTGCCCTTGAGCAAGGCACCGAACCCCCAACTGCTCCCCGGGCGCCGCAGCATAAATGGCTGCCCACTACTCCGGGTGTGTGTTCACGGTGTGTGTGTTCACTGCTGTGTGTGTGCACTTAGGATGGGTTAAATGCAGAACACTAATTCCTAGTATGGGTAACCATACTTGGCCACATGTCACGTCAAAAAAAATATATATAATATTGTCAGTGAACTAAATATACCTGTTTTTTACTGAAAAGCACATATAATAATAATATTGTAATAAATTGCTAACATTTTATTTGGAAGTATAAAACATACAAAAACAACTTTCTAAAGAGCAAAATTCTAACTTCAGGAGTTTCTATTTGAATACACAGTAAAAAACACCCAATTGTTGCTTGCGTTTTTCTTAAAGTTCTGGCAAATTCATACATTCTTAGAGAAAACAAATGGAAAATTGGGACTTTAAATGAGCTAGACTAAAACTTCAAGTTGTCCAGTTTATAAAGATATATGGCACTTGATGCTGACTGCTAGAATAGGTTTGAAAACACAAAGAAAAGTACAGGCATGCCAGGTGCCCCAAACATATTCTAGGTGTTTAGGCCAATGTCATGAAAAAAAGACAAAAACAGCCTCCACTGAAATCAGGAGGGGAAAAAATGACAGCCATGACTGTACTTAGTTTTTATGTGAATATGTATGGTATTGTATGTTATAATAAGTATACAGTATACAGTACAGATTAGTCGTCTGTCTTCTATCCTAAATTATAACAATTCTCAGACTGCAAACAGTGATCCTACTGTGACGCATCTACTTTGCAGTGTCTGAAGTTGAACTCTAACCCAAATAGTGTACGCAAGTGTGTTTGTTGTCCTCTGACCTGGTACATTGGGATGATATGGTCAGACACAAATTTGGCTCCATAGATCAGGCCATCTGTCCAGCGTACTTGAACTTCGTCTCCCTCCGATGGCGGGCCGAGCTGCCTGCAGTCTCTATTCTGAAAAATAAACACCAGCAGGGCTTCAGTACACTGTTTTTAATCATCAAACATTGTTTTGAGCCGTGTAACCACTCACGTACCACTATATCCTCAGGAAACAGGTTGTCACTGAATGAGCCATCATCAAAGATAACCTCATAAAAGGTGGCCTTTGTCAGCTCAACCACCTCACAATGGTAGTATCGGCTATTTCTGTGCTTGCAGATTACTTTCTGTCCCTTCTCCAACTCCCGCATAGATGCTCTATTGCGCTGCAGAAGATAAATTCAGAGACCAGACATCTCAGACAACACACATCTTTTGCGGTTACATATTTTATTCACCAACCTGCACAACAAGATGTTGGTGGAAACAGACAGTAAATATTACTGATTAACCTGATTACAATCTAATAAATCACCCAGACAGGCCAGTTACAGTAAAAAATCTTTTTTTTTTTGTGTGTGTGTCAAGTTTTTCAGAAATGCACACCTTGTATTTCTGTTTGTTTCATATAGTTTTTAATGACAATTTAATGACTAAAAAATGTCATGTGGTGTAACCATCAAGTAATAAAATTTCCTTACACACTTAATGCAAGTCAATGTAAACAAAAACATTTTGAAATATATTTTTTCACAATTAATAATTCATTAATATCATTACATTTTTGAGGAGTGGCAGAGTCACTTTACAACCTGAACTAACCTTGTCCTGTCATAAAAAGGTCAAATTATCTGATGTTTTATAAGACTTAATGACCTGGACACACAAGCTGTGTCCCAATTCATAGGCTGCATTTGATGACCAAATTTGTCACAGTGGGGTGCTGAAGTCTGTCCGATTCCAAAGCCTCCTTCAAATGCAGCCTCAAAATGTGGCCTTCATTTCCCAAGCCATTAAGGATAATACAATAAATGGACCCTTCACGGCCCAAACTATCCCAAGATTCATTGCACGCCAACAGGACTCTATACTGGATTACACTTTTAATTTCAAGTATTGGGTTTCAACTTACTTGAATATCTACACAAATGTTACAAAAAAATCTTTAAACTAACTTCTATCAGATGTGATTCAATATATAGTTTATACTTTTTGTTATGTACATAAATGGACCAAGTTGTTTTGTTTTCAGACAGTTGAATATAGCTTTTAAAAGAAGTCCAGTACCAACGTTACTGCCGCTCCTCAACGGCAGCAGTCACAGTTGCTAGACAAAGAGTAATCCTCCCTTTTAAAAATGCTTGGTTCGAACTTCACGGCCTTCGATGGTGTGGTCTTTGAAGTCCATGTTCTTTGAGGGATGCAGTCCCTGAATTGGGACACAGCTACAGTCTGCAGGAAATTATAGCATTTCCTTGTTTTATTTTTTTGACTGACAGGCCAAATTTGCACCAAAATAATATAAAGTGTGATTGGACATTGGACCTTTGATGTCAGCAAGACAATGGGAAGCATTTTATTTTCCTATTTTCCCATTTTATTTAGTGTGTAATGTAGCTGTATGTGAATGTAAATGATCTGCAAAGTTGTAAAGCTGAAAGTACACGATAAAGTTATTGTCTCCCAAAAGAAAGAATCAACACTGAACAGAGTCATCAGTAATTCGAATCCTACTTCTGTGACGGCTACAGATCATGGGGTAACACATTTGCATAATGCCCGCCTATGTTCCAAGTTTGCCCGGCCGCGAAACAATTTGACCCGCCCTCAAACACTGTAGCTTGTTCGTGTGGTTAACATCATGTCTAGAAGACGCTGTGTCTTATGCTGTGAAAGTAAATTTGTTTCATTTTCACTTCTGAAAGATGAGGCTGCAAAGAATCAGTGGTTAAATACATTTTTTCCACTGTACCACAGCAGTACAACCCCAATCTTTTTTGTGTTTGTATTTTACTGATGACTGCTTCTAATCTCGGGGATTTCAACACGCAATTCACAAAACACTTGCTCTTGAAAGATGGCTCAGTACCCAGTTTATTTAGACCAGCTGGCTCCACTGAATCACAACCTGTAAGTATGCTAAATAAATAATGTTTATATTTTCTATCGAGCATTCAATATAAGGAACTATGGCAATGGGCATATCGTTTCCGACACCCGCTGTACGCAGTAGACCAATCACAACAGACTGGGCCATCAGACCAATCAAAGCAGAGTAGGCTCACGGAAAGGAGGGGTTTAGAGAGGCTGAATCTTAGAACTGCTTCAAATGAATCGTTTGAGAATCGTTGGAAAAAGAGGTGATATTAAATGCATACTTTGTGAAAATTAAAAGCAAAAATTTTTTTTGACCTTGCATGCATGTAAACCTATTGTAGGAGACTCCCAAAACAATATTAGGAACCTTAAAAATGGCATAATAGGGCCACTTTAAAAGTTGATTCATTTTGCTGCACAAATTATGTGCCATTACATGGTTAGTTGCGTTTTATTATTTGCCTTTAGCACTGCTTTGCCCATGTTAGAACCACCAGTGGCTGTACACCAGGAAACGAAGAAGAATCTGTCCTACAGGTTGTGATTCAGTGGCGGGTAAGTCGTGGCCTAATGGTTAGCGATTCGGATTAGTTACCTAAAGGTTGCGGGTTCGAGTCTCGTACCGGCAGGGATTGTGGGTGGGGGGAGTGAATGTACAGCGCTCTCTCCCACCTTCAATACCACGACTGAGGTGCCCTTGAGCAAGGCACCGAACCCCCAACTGCTCCCTGGGCGCCGCAGCATAAATGGCTGCCCACTGCTCCGGGTGTGTGTTCACGGTGTGTGTGCACTTTGGATGGGTTAAATGCAGAGCACTAATTCCAAGTATGGGTCACCATGTACTTGGTGTACATGGCCACATGGTAAAAAAAATAAAATAAAAAATCTGTCCTCTTATCATGCCCTTATTGTGTCATTCAAAGCAGTTGAAGGCAAAAACAGAGATCGGGCTTCTATGTGTATTTCAATTGTTCAGGTGTCAAAACTAGACTTCACTATCATGCTACACACATCTGTGTTGTGTCTATACCTCTACATGGATGCCACCCTTATGTCTCCAGCAGGTAAAGTAAACAACGAATGGCCAATCATCCGGGTGCATTTGAACTCCAGCTGCCTGCGCACAGGTCGGGTGAAAGGAAGTGGAGCAGCGGCCGTGTGAGCATTGCACGCAGCAACCCGTGCTCTTCTTCACCCACTTACGACAGAACTGGCATTTCTAAAAAAAAAAACAAACAAAAAAAAAACATTTTTAGTTATGTCTTTGACAGTAGAAACAGAATTAGGGTTAAGCAAAGTGAACAATTAACAAATTGTAATGAATTCAGAAGTAATTTGTTAGACTATTTTTAATGATTCATTAAAGGTTTAATGAAGAGATTAGATTACCAAAATCCCCTTTTATTATACTGCTTAACAGATGTGTTATACAAACATTGCTGGTGACTAATTAACTAGGAGAAGAGATGCTGCCAACCTACTGCTATACCTATTGTTTTCAGTAATTTGAGAATACCTCAGCTGTTCTCAGAATTGCAAAGCTTTCACAATAACAAGGTAAGTTTTCCAATGAGTAACATGACAAATTACTGCATTGCCATATTTTGCCTCATTTCATATAGTATTTGCATGCTCATACACATACATCATTCAAAAGTTTGGGGATATTAAGATTATTAAATTTTTCAGAAAGAAATATTCCATGCGCACCACACATCACTTCCTCATTTGCTCAAAAATACAGTACTGTTCAAGAAACATTTATTATTATCAATGCTGAAAAAAGTTGCGCTGCCAAATATTTTTTTCTTGAAACCATGATACTTTTTTCCCCCTCCAGGATTCTTTGATGAATAGAGAGTTAAAAAAAATAGCCTTTATTCTAAATATAATTTTTCTGGTAACATTAAAAATGTCATTATAAATGATAAATGTCTATCCTTGTTGAATAAAAATATTAACTTCTTCAAAAAAAAAAAAAAAAAAAAAAAAACTTTTGCAAGAGGAAAAAACAAA